CATCATCTTTGTCTCTATCGTCTTTCTCTCCATCATCTCTGTATAGCAAACTAAACGGCATGAAACAAGTTCTGTCTCTCTCTTTCTGTACAGTTAAATGTGCTTGTTTCTAGGTCTGATGTTCTAGGTCAGTTCATGACCATGGTTGGAAAGGACTGGCCACATTCTGGAAAAGCTCGTCTTTTCGTTGCAATTAAGCTATTTACTTGATCTATCTTATTTTATCAGCTTTTGATTCATCATAGACCTTGGGCCTTGTTTACTGGTAGGCGAAATTAGATCTATATTTTAGGTTGAGTGGTTGCAGCCCAATCAGTCTAGTAGTCTTTTGAAGAGCAAATAGTAGAAAATCTACTTTCTGAAGGAAAGTGGCTTATTTGTTAGAGTTGGCGGGTGCTTTCTGGGAAAGAGTCTAGTTTCCACCTTTCATCTCTTTCGTGAAACTATTTTAGATTAACTTGGTCTGTTGCCTCCCTGATCGAATCATTTGCTGAGCTTTGATTATCGTCTCTCCTTTTTTTTTTTTTTTTAAGAAAAGAAAAATTTTATAAACTGAAATCAAATCTTACAAGATTCAAATAGGATTTAAGTCTTAAATAGCTTTAATCCTTCAAAACAATACAATAGAGCAAGCTTCTTTTTAAAAAATTATTTTCCAAGCCATAAAAGAATCAGTAAAAGCAGCTACTTCAGAAATCAGAGTCTTCCTCCCCCTTAATGCTGGCAACAATAACTGATCTTGAAGTAACAATAATTTAGAATGCTGTTAGATTATTTAAAATATTAAATTTATTTAAAATTTTATATTTTGTTGACTTGAATTTGAGTTTGATTTGGGTTTAGGCTTGGGTGCGTACGGGGGTGGGGGTGGGGGTGAAGGCGGGGAGGGGTCGGAAATTATAAATTTATCCACAGGCGAAGACGAGGCAAAAATTATACCCATTAATAAGCTAAAAATATACGAAATTTTTTTAAGCAAATATTGGAACGGAGACAATACCTCCGACCACTTCGCTCCATCACATCCCAGATTTAATCGTCTCTCTTTCTACACCTGATCTGTTTTTGCCTCTCTCCCCTTCTCATCCCAGCAAAAAACCACCGCCACAGACCGCCTCAGTCTAGCAATTGCCATTGCCTGCTCCGTCTCTCTCTCTAACTGTGCTTCTCTCATTCCTATCCTCTTTTCTACCTTTTCTCCAGCCACCTACCGCCAATAGTCGCCACCACAGATCCAGTGAGCAGCGACGACAGTCAGGTCTCTCACTCCCCCTCTCTTTGCTCCTTTCCTTTTCTCTCTCTCTATCCACTGCCGCTTCTGTCCACTGCCGCTTCTGTCCACTGCCTTTGCCCAGCGAAACACCATCGGCAGCCCTCCTCCTCACCAGCGACCCTGAGGTATCTCTCTTTCTTCCTGTTGTACTCTCCCTCCCCCTTTCTATCTCGCACTAGCCTCTACCCTAGCGACCATCCAGTGCCCCCACACCCAACTCGACCACCACGTGCTCGACGAAATTTCCCAAAGAGTTTTGCACCCCCTCTCCTCTCTCTGTACACGCATACAAACCCCACTTCTGAGGACCACCGTGCCACCACAACTTGGGTGTCAGAGAGTTTGGCAGTGGTTAAACCCAACACCCCCTCCCGCCAAATTTTGAATGCTCTATAGGTTACTTTGACATGGTTTTAGTTTTCTCTTCAGGTTGAGTAAGTATAAATTTTGTTGGGAATGGAAACATTATGTCGTAAAGTGAAAAGGATTTGAATTTTGTTTCTTTTTTTTTAATTATTTTAATTGTTTTGTGCTGGGTTGGGGTTGGGAAAATGCAGTACTTCTATTGATTGTGTCAGATTCAATAGTAGAAAGTAAATATTGAAGTGCAATTGCTAAAGAGTGTTGAAGGGGTTCTTGATAAAAGGGCAGTGGACGCATGCATTATTGTTTTGGAGTGGGTGTACAGATCTAAGGAAGATAGACATTATAAGAGCGGGCAAACTTGTTGTTTTGACTTTTGAGTGGTGCTAATTTTTGAGTGAAGAATTGAAATTTGAGAGAACTGATACTTGTCTTTGTTTANTTGTTTTGACTTTTGAGTGGTGCTAATTTTTGAGTGAAGAATTGAAATTTGAGAGAACTGATACTTGTCTTTGTTTATCTAAATACTAATGATATCTACCTTCAAATTCTGAAGAGTATCATATAGGAGGCATTATTTCTGCCATTCAAAATGGTTTACATGCAAGCCCTTCACTAAGTTGCTCAAAAGGTGTTGTGGAGGAACTAGGATTTCATGGTTCTGCCATTGAAAATAGTTTTCATGCCAACCCTTCACTAAGTTGCTCAAAACTTTCTTGTAGTGTTAGATATTTGATCAGCATACTATTTTTCTTTGTTAAGAGACATTTTCATCGGTTTTATATGATTACGTGATACATTATGTCAATCTTGTGGCCCAGTGCATTCTAATTATCTCTCAAACATGGACTCTAATTAGTGGTGTGAAAATAACTATTTCTATAAGAACATCTAATTTCAAGAGAAAGGGCTTTCCTCACTCTTTTCTTTTCTTTTTTTAAACAGGTCTTTTGTTGTCAACGAAACATGGCACTAGTGGCATTGAGAAGTCGAGGTAGGGTTTCTAAGCTTATTTGTTCGAATATTTCGAATTCTGTCCCTTATTTATATCAATTGCTCTTGAGAAGTCGTCTGGCAATGCCTCTTCCGATGAGAGTACACTCTTTTAGCTCCATGGATGGTGGTCCTATTCCATTACCATCCGAGCGAAGAACCACTGAGCAGATGATGAAAGATGGTGATGGACGATTATATGACATTGGCCCCCCTCAGGTTCCTCCAGAGCCCATACCTAATCGGCCCTTGAGGGGCGAACGTCTTTCGCCTAGAAAGTTCCAACTTAGCGATCACAATGAGCATGGCGGGGGATACAAATACGGATGCGAGAAGTCTTTAACTGCCGCCAATACCCCCCACCTGAAGAATTCAAAGAACTATAACAATAGACCTTCTAGGATAGTAGGAACAGGGCACAAAGCTGATCGGCCTTCCGGTAGTAACCTTTTCCCATCGGACGAATTTAGTGAGGAAAAGACGAATGGTAATAAATCTTCTCTACCTAAATCCTTTTTAGGCCAGAAGCAGCTGGGTGATGATGATTTTCTTGAAAAATTCAAGCTAAGAATNGGACGAATTTAGTGAGGAAAAGACGAATGGTAATAAATCTTCTCTACCTAAATCCTTTTTTGGCCAGAAGCAGCTGGGTGATGATGATTTTCTTGAAAAATTCAAGCTAAGATTTGATAAAGGGGAAAATTTCCTTCCAAATTCAGCGACCCCTCAAATCCGTCGAGAAGCAGAGGAGGCAAAGCGGGACCACCAAGCAGCACTTGAGCCACCTTTACCACCACCACCACTACAGGATGCAGATGAGATCTTTAAGAAGATGAAAGAAACTGGTCTCATTCCCAATGCCGTGGCAATGCTTGATGGCCTCTGCAAGGATGGGCTGGTCCAAGAAGCCATGAAACTTTTTGGTTTGATGCGTGAGAAGGGTACTATCCCTGAAGTTGTGATATACACGGCTGTGGTGGAAGGCTTCAGCAAGGCCCAGAAACTTGACGATGCCAAGAGGATTTTCAAGAAAATGCAAAACAATGGAATCAATCCTAATGCATTCAGTTACACAGTCTTGATCCAGGGGCTCTATAAAGGTAATCGGTTGGAGGAGGCCCTTGACTTTTGTGTGGAGATGCTGGAGGCCAATCACTCTCCGAACTTGGCTACTTTCACGGGTTTGGTTGATGGTTTTTGCAGGGAGAAAGGTGTTGAAGAAGCCCGGAACACAATCACAGCATTGAGGCAGAAAGGTTTCTTTTTTGATCAGAAAAATGTTACAGAGTTTTTGGACAAGAAAGGACCGTTCTCGCCATTGGTTTGGGAGGCAATCTTGGGAAAGAAAAGCTCACAGAGAACTTTGTGAATGAGTCTTAGTTTTGTAAGGTCTTATTCCTATCCCTAATTTGTTTTCTTGGCCTTCTTTACAACATTCCTGTTTTGTAAAATTTGGAAGAGACAGATGAACATTCAGCTTTGTTTCTTTATTTTTTTTTGGAATGCAACTTTGTCTCTCTATTGAGTATGATTATTTTCGTTGCAAGAGTGATACAGACATTTCAAAGGGCACTGACTTATATGTCCTGATGTTGCTTTGTTAATGACCAACCTTGTTGCAACATTTGTTTGAATGATGTTTTTGAAGACATACAATTTCTTGATTTTTCATTGCATTGTTCCTGAAAATAAACTCAAATGAAATTGTTTGAGGTTAAGTCGCCTCTACAATGAGGCTGAATAAGTGAGTAATAGAGTTCCCATACAAAGGAGACTTTGCCCAAATCTCGTTTTGTTATGGGTAAACATAGTTCAGGGTTTAGGGTTTAGGGTTTTACATCAGTTGGACTCGTTATAATTTTAAAGGCAGCATGCTTAGGTTATTTTTTCTTTTTTATTTTGTTATGGGTAAACATAGTTTAGGGTTTAGGGTTTTACATCAGCTGGACTTGTTATAATTTTAAAGGCAGCATGCTTAGGTTATTTTTTCTTTTTTATTATTCATTTATTGCAAGAGGCATGCATTTTGCTTTCTTTTATTTCTTTAATTTATTTATTGTAAATAAATAAAATTCTAGGTGTATTGAAATTCTCTCGTACCGTTAAGGTTTGCCAAAAAAAAAGAAAAAGAATTTAGGGTTAGGGGTTTAAGGTTTCCAACTATCGGAGTGTAAAAAAAAAAACTCGGTGTGTTTGATTGGTTGGGGTAAACTTGTTTTTATCCTTTTTTATTTCTGGATATTTACTTGGTAGATGTGTTATACGTTAAAAAAAAAAAGGGTTTAGGGTTTGGGGTTTGGGGTTTAAGGGTTTAGGGTTTGGTGTAATAACTATGATGGGAATGCTAGAATTGGGCAGTGGATTGATAGGGCCCTTCTGAATGCCGTCTGGGGTGAGAGTTTGGGTAAAACAGAAATCTTGCATCTGGCTAGGGGGAGATCTGATCATTCTCCTTTGCTAGTCAGAGTGTTTAATGATCAACAACATTGAATTTCCTACTTCAAGTTTCAAAACATGTGGCTAGAGCATGAGGGTTTTCTGTCCTTGGTGGCTTCGTAGTGGGGGGGTTTTCTTTCTGAGAATCCTATCCAAAATTTATTTCTTAGATTGAAAAATGTCAAGTATCATCTAAAGCCTTGGAATACTGAGGTGTTTGGGAATATCTATGAGAAGATTAAATCAAAGGAGGTGGAGTTGTTGTCTACTGCTAAGATGGATGTGGAACAGAATGTTTCATCTGAGAATCTTAAGAAAGTTGAAAAAATCCAGGGGGAGTTGGATTTAATTTTGAGATTAGAAGAGATTTACTGGAGGCATAAAGCTAATCTGAAATGGGCTACGGAAGGGGAGAGGAGCGCACGTTTTTATCATGCCTTAGCTAAAAGCAATTTTTTGAGAAATAGGGTTTGTAGAATTCAAAACGCAGCTAGGGTGTGGTGAAGTCTGAAGAGGATATTGGTTGGTTGGTAGAGGAGTTTTATTCTTCTCTTTATAAATCTGAATCTCATCAGATTGAAGAGGATCTGCTCTATGTTATTCCTAAACTGATTATTGATATCCAGAATGCTGACCTTGTTAGGTTGGCTTCTTTGGAGGAAGTGAGACATGTTATTCCTAATCTTTTCTTGAGAGGAGGTTCTGTTCCCAGGTCTGTAAATGTCACTTTACTTATCTTAATTCCTAAGAAGACAAATCCTGCCTCTTTCTCAGATTTTTGACCCCATAAGTCTGTGTAACTTTTTATACAAGATCTTTGCTAAATTGTTGACCACTAGACTCTGTTCTACTTCCTGGATTGATTTCTCGTNTACTTATCTTAATTCCTAAGAAGACAAATCCTGCCTCTTTCTCAGATTTTTGACCCATAAGTCTGTGCAACTTTTTATACAAGATCTTTGCTAAATTGTTGACCACTAGACTCTGTTCTACTTCCTGGATTGATTTCTCATGAACAACATGGTTTTATTAAGGGGAGAAATGGAAGGGATTGTGTGTCTCTTGCTCAATTGATGCTGGGAGAGCTTAATAGGAGAGTTAAGGCTGGAAATTTGATATTGAAATTAGACATGATGAAGGCCTATGATAGACTTGAGTGGGATTTTTTATTAAAGGTGCTGGACTGTTTTGGATTCTCCCCCTTATTTGTTCAACTGGTGGCTAACTGTTTGGAGAGCCAATTCTTTTCTGTGAATGTTAATGGAGTGAGAAGGGGGTTTTTTCCTTTTTCTAGNTGGACTGTTTTGGATTCTCCCCCTTATTTGTTCAACTGGTGGCTAACTGTTTGGAGGGCCAATTCTTTTCTGTGAATGTTAATGGAGTGAGAAGGGGGTTTTTTCCTTCTTCTTGGGGATTGACGCAAGGGGATCCTTTATATCTTTGTCTTTTTATCCTAGCTGAGGAGGTGCTAAGTAGGGGACTGAGAAGAATATTTGAGCAGGGTCTGGTCAAGCACTTTCACATTGGAAAATGAGCTTCTTTGTTGAGTCATTTGCTTTTTACGGATGATACTTTGATCTTTTTGAGGGAGGATAAAAGATCATTGAAGAATTTGATGGAATTTTTGAAGAGATATGAAATGCGTTCTGGGCAGAGGATCAGTTTGTCGAAGAGCTCGCTGTTTTGTTCCAAGTTTATTTCATCTGAAAGAAAACATGTTCTTTCTAGTTTAGCTGGTATCCTTACTAAGTCTTGTCCCNGGCAGAGGATCAGTTTGTCGAAGAGCTCGCTGTTTTGTTCCAAGTTTATTTCATCTTAAAGAAAACATGTTCTTTCTAGTTTAGCTGGTATCCTTACTAAGTCTTGTCCCTTTACTTATCTGGGATGTCGAGTAACTCAAGGGAGGGTTAGACTGCATTATTTTGAAGGGCTTCTTATTCAGTTTAGGCAGAGATTAGAAGGGTGGTACACTAGACTCTTGTCTAGCATGGGAAGAGTTTTGATGGTGAGATATGTTTTGTGTGCTGTTCATTTGCACTTATTGGCTTGTATGAATTTGCCTAAGACTATTATTGCTAAACTGAACTCCCTATTGTTATGAGGGAATTTGTTGTTTTTGTCAAGCCTTTTGGCTTTTCTTTATGTTGAGGTTTTTGTTTTGTTAAAGCAGGGCTTGTCTGCTTTTCCCTCATTGTAAAGCTTGGTCTGTGTGGCTGTTTTGATTAGGCAGGGTCTGTCTGCCTTTTCTCTCTTATAAATACTTTTTGAGAAATGGAATAAAATGTTGGTTTAAAAAAATAAAAAATAAAAAACTGAACTCCCTAATGGCCAGTTTTGTGTGGTCAAGTAAGCTTAATGTGTGAAGAAGACATTGGGTAGCCTGGGGGAAGATAACTATGCCTAGGAAGGAAGGGGGTTTAGGCTTGAGGAAATTTGAAGAGATCCAGTCTGCCCTTCGGATGAAGCAAGTGTGGAGTTTACTCGGAGGATCTTCATTGTGGGCTGAAGTGTTTAAGTCAAAGTTTTTAAAGGGGAAGAGCATATTACGTTGTCTGGGAAAATTTCATTCTCCCAGTTTTGAGTTACTTAGGCCTTACTTTGAGAAGGTCGTAAATTCTTCAAAAATGCTGATTGGAAATGGGCTATAGACTGATTTCTTTTGTGACAACTGGACAGGTAAAGGGGCTCTTCTTAGTAGAATGGAATGTGTTCCTTTAGTGTTTCCGAAGGTTGCTGATTTACTGTCTCATGATACTTGGCATTTGTCTGGGGTTGAGGACTGGTTGACGGTGCAGTTGAAGGACGAGGTTCTGTCTTCGAGGCTTTGTCTGAATTCAAGTTTAGATAAAGTCATTTGGCAACATAATAATTCTGGAGAATTTTCGGTGAAATCTGCCTGGGGCTTGGCTAGGAGTCAGGGATGTGTTAATGATCTTCTGTCATTGATTTGGAAGATTGAAACTGCTCCAAGTGCTCAGATGATTGGGTGGAAATTTTTTATGAAGGCTTTACCAATGGATTCTAATTTCAAGCGAATTGGTGTCTCAGTTGTGAGTGGGTGTTCCTTGTGTTATCAAGATGGGAATTTGAATCTCATCTTTTTGTGAACTGTCCTTTTGCTGAAGTGGTTTGGTCGAAGTTGGCTGCCATTGGGGGTTTTCAGATTATTCAAGGTGAGACTCCTTTGGGGAAATTTCAAAGACTTTGTAGGATCTTTAAAAAGAAATCCTTGAGTCATGGTTTGATTAGGAGTTTTGCTTTGATTACCTACTGGCAGTTGTGGAAAGAGAGATGCATGTGAGTTGCTAGGGATGGGAAGCTGATCTCTTATTCTGTTTTCATGAGGATTTGTAGTATACTCAGGTTCCAAGTTAGGAACATTAAACCGAAGGTTCTGGATGGTCCAAATGGTTCAGCACTGTTAAGCTTTCTGCAAATTGACTTATCATCTAATGTCCAGTTGAAATGTAGGTGGGTGAAGTGGATGAATCCTACTGCTGGTATGCTGAAACTTAACACTGATGGGGCGTCTAGAAATAACCCAGGGGTTGCACGGGGAGGTGCAGTTGTGAGGAATGAGTGGAGCAAAATAGTCCTTGCTGCCTCTTTTTACTATGGTGATTGCTCAAACGTGATTGCTGAGTTCTGAGCATTATGTGATGGTCTGCAGGTAGTTTTTGATTATGGTTTGTCTTGTTATTGTTTGGAAATTGAATGTGACTCTTTGGTCTTGGCAAATTCTGTACTGGATATGTGTTTGCCCATGGCCTTGTCTGGATTACTTGAGGCTGATTAAAGGTTTTTTGGGAAGGCTGGAGTTTCGTTTGGTTCATATCTTTTGAGAGGCAAATTCAGTAGCTGATAGACTTACTGGGCAGGCGGTTAAAAGTAGAAGTTCTGTGGACTTTTCGGTGGGGTTGCAATTGCCTTTTG